CAGGTCCTAAACCATGTAGGGCTTTAAAAGTAACGACTAGCACCTTGAAGCGTGTCCAGAGACCAATGGGGAGCTAGGTGTGACGTGGGTGTATCTAGGTACACCCATTATCGCTCGCGCGGCTGCATTCTGGATGTTCTGTTCTGAATGTTGGACTGTCTGCAACTGGCCCTCATAATTATCTTGGCGTAGGACAAGTAGCAATGGTTGGGAACTAATCAAGGAGAGAAGCAACCTAAACTAAGGAAGAATTTCCTGATTGTTAGAACAATTAATTAATGGAATAACTTGCCTCCAGAAGTTGTAAATGCTGCAACACTGGAGGTTTTTAAGAAGAGATTGGATAGCCATTTGTCTGAAGTGGTGTAGGGTCTCCTGCCTAAGCAGGGGATTAGACTAGAAGACCTCCAAGATCCCTTTCAATTCTGCTATTCTATCCTATCCTATCATTTTCAGCATCTTATAGTCATGCCACTTCGATTTACTGTTTTTGCAGATTTACTGCCTTTATTTGTTGTTTTTGGCAAAACAAACTACTCCAAAGCAAATAGTTTGCTTAACAACCTAAGCATTTACTTAATGACAACAGTGATTCACTTTAACGATTGCTGCAAAAAGGGTTGTAAAATTAAGCCTGCTCATGTGAGGATCTGCTTTATGACCATCCCAGCCTAGGACTGTAATGATTAGGCTCCATTAGCATCATACATCATCGTAACAGACTGGTCTGCAGAATGGAAGACTTTTGCCCAAATGATGCAAACGCTTAATTGCGTTTGAACTTTCCCCTGTATCAATTCCCATCTCTCTTTGTCATAAATCACATCCACCAACAAGGTGCTGTGGCAGGCTATGAACATGCACGTGCGCCAGCTGTAGGAATATGAGACCTGACTCTGGCCAAAGGTATGCATGGAATTCCCCTCCCTTTTCCTATGTCAACAATAGTAGTCATGGAAACACCTTCCAAGTTGACATTTATAACATGTACAGGGTGATACTTAACATTGTGACAGCAAGATGCTGGTTTTATCATCACAACTCCCCCTTGAATGCCCAGGAGGAGAGATAAGGTGTGGTGTGTAAAAAATTAAAATGACAGCAATGAATGTGTTTGTCCCATTTTACAATTTTCTTTGTCCCATTTGTTAAGTGAATCACGACAGTTGTTGGTCCTGTTCAGCATATTTCCCAACGGTGTTTTGAGGCTCATAATAATAGTTAACCATTGTAGATAAATAAGGTCAGTACCTGAGTCAGCAGAACCGAGGAGAAGGAACTGGAGGAGATCACAAAACACAAAGACCTGCAAATAGAAATAGAACAATTGTGGCAAAAGAAAGCAAAGATAGGACTAATAGGAATGGGAATGGACAAAATCCCCATCTGTCAATTGCAATAGACAGCTTTGCTTGGGACATTCTGCAACAATACCTCTAACACCATCATGCAGCAACGTCTGTCTATTCCAGGTCCTTGGGAAAGACTTCATAGGACAAAAAGGGGCTAACGCCGATGATGTTACAGTATCTAGTTGGGTAATGAAACATCTGAAAGAAAATAAGCAAGCTCAGAGAGCATCAAGGATCGCACAGTCTTCTTCTTCTTCTTTCTTCTTTCTTCTTCTTCTTCTTCTTCTTCTTCTTCTTCTTCTTCTTCTTCTTCTTCTTCTTCTTCTTCTTCTTCTTCTTCT